CTGAAACAATTGTCAGATGTACAAGTAATTGCATCTGTTATGAAATCCTCAATATTTAATCAAGCTTTTCACTTGAACTGTGACATTTAAAACTTGCAACTTAATCTCATATTCTTAGGAGTATCCTTAGTCTTACTATAATTCACTTCTGATTTTATTCCAGTGTTATGGAAGACTTTACGTGGAATGATTTCAATTCCTTTGAAGACATAATGTTCTTTGTTGTTTTCTCTAAATGCTCTATGAGACTGAATATATCTTGTGATTTTGAAGGATTTTTTTTTTTTTTTTTTTTTTTTCCACTCAAGTTGCTTTTCAGGGCAGGTCTGGTTTGGCTTGAGGATACGGGGATTGAAGCACAGCATCCTGAGCCTGACCGCTTTGTTTCAGCAGGCACTTATTAAACATCTGCGCTAATGGGCAGGCCCCCATCTTGTGATTTTGAGAAGACTGTACAATGCACTGATATGTTAAGACATTTTTACAGTATCCTGCATATCCCTTCAGAATTTGATGTTGATTTGTAATCATGCAAATGTTTCTCCTTTCTTCAGCTGTCCATTATTGATAGAGTTGATTTGAAGGCCTTGGGCTGCACTGTAAATAAGTGGCTTTGATTTTCATGTTCATGTTTTACCTTATATAGGTAGGTGAACCATTTATAGGAGTGTGTGTTAGGAGTTCTCAGTTTAGAGAATTGCCTTGTATGCCGTTATCTGATTACTGTCAGCCTTAATTTGAGATTCTGATTGAAAACTATCATTTTCATATTCTTTGAGTAGATTTCATTGGATGAAAGCTAGACTGACTGTCTTTTTGCATAACTTCCTGTTTAATTACTCCTCATCTGTGTACATCTGATAGCTACTCCTCCCTAGGTAGTGATAGATTTGCCGCATAGCCCGGTTGTGCAGATCTTTAGCAGTTCCGAAACCTGTTTTCCCTTTCTCTGGCCTTCTCACCTAATCGCCTGATGCCCAACATAGAGATTAAACACTGTTTGCTGGGAATCTGTAGGACTCAGCTCTGCAGCTGGCTTTGCTTCTTTCTGCCTCATCTGTGTAATATGTCTCAAGTTATCATATTTAAAGGCAGATAGCTTAATGTACGTGAACTTTGTTTTTGGTCATTTCCTATTTAAATCTCTTGTCCCAATTATTATTCTTAAAGATTAGTGAGATTGAATGATAATAAACATATAAATGTCCTGTTCCTTCAGAATATTTCATTCTTGAGACTTAGGTAATGCTTGGAAGCATCTAGGTGACAAACATACTTCCTGACTCAAACCCTTCTTGCATTTTTGTCAACTCCTCTTTTGGTAGTTTCCCTAAGTTACCCTAAGTGTACCATATGTGATTTTCTATGAATAGTGTTCTTGTTTTCCAACCCATGGGATGTTCAGTGTTATGGAAATCGCTGAAGGAAATGCTTTGCAAGGCTTTCTTTCTCCCTTACTATTCTTCATGAATGCTAATGTGTGAATCAAAGGAAAAGTTCTTTCTCATCAGGTCTATTGTTGAGGAGATGGAAGATTCTTTTAAGTTTATTTGACAAAAACTTCATCAATGTGCATGAATAGCGGAACAGTGCATTCTCTGGACTTGGGAAAGGAGTCACAGGTCTGATGATTTCGGTAAAGCCCTAAGTAATGGAGATGAGTATGAGGGAATCAGTAGGATCCTAATGTATATGTTTTATTGTGTTCTTCCACACCTCAGTTTTCTTCAGTTATTTTCTCAAGGCCCTGGCTGACCTCTGACCCAGGGCAGGTTTTGCTGGGCTCATGTTTTGTGGTACTAGCTGCTGTCTGGACTTCTCCAAGGTGAGCTTGACCTTCCCTGCCGCAGCGAGTAGGCCAAGCTAAGCAGACTACGCAGGATTCGGATGGGGTGGGGAGTATTGTCGGGGGAGGGTACAGGGACCTGGGTCCTCGGGAGCAGATCGAGGAAGACCGGGGCCTACCACGGACCTGGCGCCTTTGTTGCCCATTCCCCGGATGGCCTGTGGCTCGAACAGAGGCCTGCCTAGGCAGATGTGCCAGGAGGCCCAGGCCCAGATGTGTGTTCCTGCTGCCACTGGAGCTGGGTCATACTTGTGGCTGCAGGGAGTGTGTCCAACAGGGGTGTGCTTGGACTGGGCCGGTGGAGTGCAAGTATAAATGCCACAGACCCCAGCTTTCAGAATATAGAAGAGTCCAGAGTTTTCAGTGCATTCATGGTTATCTGTAATGCTGTCTTTAGTTGGGAAACAAGTTTCAGGGGAATCCTGCATCTGGGATTGGATAGTCTGAATAAGAGATTTGACCAAAATCATGGAGCAGGTGCTACATGTAAAATAAGTTATCTAGTGCTTCACAAATCCCTGATTGGTCTGGGAATATCAGGTGTAAATTAGACTTTTAAGAGTGGGCATTAAGTCCTCGGGACTTTTGCCTGCTGTTTGCAGAACTAAACAGCAAATGGCACCAAACTGAACCCAGTTTGTAATCTTTCATTTCTATGGTAGTGCTGGATACACACTGATAAGCTTTGGTGATTTTTAGTTACGGTTGCTTCCCAGTGTCTGAAAGTCCGGAGAGACCAGCTTGCTGCTTTTAGCACTTTGTAAAATTCTCCAATATTACATATAGCAGAGAATCCTTGTCCTGTCATCTCTGACAGGTCATTTTTACATGTTCAGTGGCTTTCTGTTTTGTTTCCTTGTTTTGTTTTAAGTTGAAGCATTGTAAATATCCCAGGAGAGTAGAGCAGAGGAGGGTATAAGTGGCAAGAGGGAAGAAGAGCTTGATTTGGCACAATAATCAGCACCTAGAAAGCAAGTGGTAAAAAGGAATTGGGCCAGAAAATGTACTGTGGAAAACAGTGTGTAGCATGCAAAGAACATACAGGAGCCTGTGTTTCTCCTACCGGTGGCATGCCCGTTTAGAATGCAAAGACTTCTGTGCCCATGACAATACACTAAACAAAGTAATTTTCATGTCTAAAAAAAGTTATTTTCTCATAGAAGACTTGGACTTTGTTTTAATTATTTTATTCCATTAATTGGTACAATTCAAAGATATACAATGATCACATTTATAATAGGGAATTTGTACATGTACATCATATACATTGATTCACTTTTTTTCTCTTATTTGCCTCTTCTACTTTGAACACTATCCCCTTGCGAAGCTTTATTTCCATTGTATCTTTATTTTCATATTTTTTTATTCCATACCTTCCCTAGTTTCCCTTTCCTTTTGAACAATTTCTTCCCACTTTACTCTATTTCTTGTATGGTTTTGTTGTCATTTATACTGTCAGTTTTTTTTTTTCACACCAGTGAGACATGTGAAATTTATACCTTTATGTTTGATTTATTTTGCTTAAATGAATGGTCCAAAGAGCCATCCTTTGAGCAGTGAATGCCTCCAGTTTATACTTTATGGCATATATATATATATATATATATATATACACTCTTTGATGGGCATTTGGGTTTCAACATTTTAGCTATTAGCAAATATGCTACTATAAGCATGCTTATGCATTAATTACAATGGTATGATACTTTTAATTCTTTTAAACTACCAAGAATGGAAATATTGGGGTCAAATAAGACTTCTGCTCCTAGTGTTTTGAAGAATCTCCACTCTGATTTCCATAGTGGTTGCACTAGTCTAAACTCCCAATAACAGTGAAGAGATGTTCCCTGTGCCCCACAGCCCCTCCAGCATTTCTTATTGATTGATTCTCTGATAATAGTCATTCCTTCTGGAGTCACATGGAATCTCAGCATTGTTTTCATTTGCATCTCTCAAGTGGTCAGTCTTTGACCTTGGTTTATATTTAGTGTTTTTCTTGAGTCACATATTTTTATGTATGTGTTGTATCTATTCATTGGTGTTTACTATGTCTACAAAATCCTTAAATTGTGTACAGAGCAAATACTTTATACTTCTCTTATTGAATTCCCATTGTTTTCATAATCTTCAATGTCTCCTATTTTGGTTATGAGGCAGTGTCTTGCTATAGCTCAAGCTGTGCTCAAGCTCACTATGTGCACCAGGCTTTCTTCAAACTCATTGTGATCCTCCTGTCTTGGCCTGTCAAGTGTTGTGTTTATAGGCATGTACTAACATTCTGGGCTGAGATTTTCCTTTTGTAATTAGTACCTACTTTTCTTTTGATATTTCCATTTTTGTTGTGGCAAATAAATATATTCCATTTCTGTTGTTCCCCTCAGCAATCCCTCTTACATGCTCTTAGAATTTATTATATGTCAGTGCAAGGTGATCATTTGGTGTCGCTGAGCTATAAGATAATATGCCACCCTTCCACTATCTTACTGGTCCACAGATTAGCTCTGATAGTACTATTTTTCCATTAGCATTTTTATTATTATTCATAAAATGAGTTCAAAGTTTCATTTCCCTTTTTGGTATGAAATCAGCTTCAAATTTCAAAATGCAGCTTGTGACCAAAAAGAATGACTTAATTATATGAAGATTTAGGTTTGAATACAGTTTCACCTGTGGTCTATCAGAATCATTCATTAGGTATCTATCTGGCCCTGTGTTTTGTACAAGATGATTTACAGGCTCCGTGAGCTCTCTTTTTTTTTTTTTTTCATTTCAGTGAGAAAAAAAGATAAAATAGCAATGAAACTGTTTCAGAATAGGTTAGTAGGACAGCTACAATAATTAATACATTGCGTATTGTTGTCTTCATAGTAGTTAGTCAGAGGACAAGCTGCAGACATGTGAGCTCTACTTTAGAGACAGTGCATGAATAAACTTTCTGTGACCCTGGTGGGCAGCCAGGTCCTACTATTCTGCTGTTCCTTTAGGAGTGAGTTCAGAATTGCTGTGTGAAAATAATGTGCATATGCTTGGTGACGAAGGCGTGAATTTAATATTTGAAGGAATTGGCTGCAATTCTGCTTTTACAAGAGGAGTTCAGACATCTCAGGGCATGAGTCTCAACCTTCTTTCACAATATGTACATGTGATTACTTAGGAGGCAGTGACCCTGGAGGATGTGCTTGTGAACTTCACCCTGGAGGAGTGGGCTGTGCTGAATCCATCTCAGAAGGAGCTCTACAGAGAAGTGATGTGGGAAACATTTATGCATATGACTGCTGTAGGTAAGGATGGCTTTTCCTCATGTGTGCATGGGAGAGCACTGCTTCTTGCAGACTAATACAGATTCTTTAAATAGAATGTAAAAACATTTTAAAGAGCATCTTAGGCCCAGCCAAATAGCTCAGCAGATTAAAGCACCTGCAAGCAGGCACAGAGGCCAGGGGTTCAATCCCCGGGCCTGCTGTGCCAGCCCCACCCTAGGGCATGCTGAGATAGCAGTTGAAACTGGGTGTGGTAGTGCATACCTGTAATCCCAGCTCTTGGAAGGCTGTAAACAGGCGGTTCACTGAGTCCAATCTAGTAGTGAGATCCTGTAGACCCTTCCCTAAAATACAAAAAATAAAAAAATAAAATCTTGGGCTTGTTTACATTGTTCCATGAATCTAGTTGCTCTCTACTAATTGCCATCTCCTAGTTTTTCTATAATGATATAGTGACTTTTTATATTTCTATGGTGACTACTAAGGAATGACCTGGGACAACCAGCAAATGGAAGAATACAAAAACTGCTTAAGAAATCTGAGGTAAATTATTTATAAATAATGCTAACATTCCCTAAGAATGAGTGTGGAAGTAGAAATACTCTAGGCAAAGAAACAAAAAATGAAACTATGGTCAAATTTATTTAATCTTACAAAAATTCTTCAAATGAGCACACAGGTTAATGTTCCAAATTGGATGACTGAGTACAGAAATACTCCAATCTAGTTAATTAAGTTAGAAGCGATATTATAGAACAAGAACCACTAGCTAATAAAGCAGTACAAAAAATTATTTTGTGACTAATTTTATGAAAACGTGTGCAATTGCATTCACGAATTTTATGTAGGCATATATGAAAAAAATAAATTTTATGCATTGAGAGGAGCTCATCTTCAATATATCTGTCTATCCATCTATTGGTCTGAATAAGAGTTATATATTATTATTAAACAGCTGCCGACCTGGAAGCAATATTCAAAATGTGAATGAATCCTACTGTTATATTAGTGGGTGTTTGGGGCACACTTTCCACAGAAATGGAAGTTAAAATTCTTAAAAAGCTCCCTTATGTGTTGTATCACAGATAACCAAGTTGTTGTATTGAGATTTTTTGGGAATTAGGTGTTTTGGAAGAAACCTCCAAGGAATTCAGCCTATGCAATCTCAAAATATCTTAGTTACCCTCAAGCCAGAATATATTACAATAGATTATTGATGTTTTCATTTATGATTGATAGTTTTGTTCTTTCTTTTCATTAAAGAAATGAAAAAGTATCACCATTTGATCAAAATACAGTTTGGAATCAACACGAAAAAATACTATTTTGGGCATCATATGAGAATGTGGAGATTAAACGGGCTGCTCCAAAGCCAGCTGAAAACCTTCTTTATAGAAAGCCCCCAGCTGGGCATTTATTAATAAATGCATTTGCTTTACCTCACACTGGACTGAAGCACCATGAGTATGTGGGATTTGATGAGAAACTAAGTAATTCTAACGAACGTGGAAAACCCTGCAGTGATTTCCAGTCCTTTCAGAAGCCTGTGAGGAGAAAGACTTGCGAGAATCCCTATCAATATGAGCAAAGTGGGAAAGCCTATTATGATCTTAGGGAAAGAACTCAGCCCGGAATGGAGACCTTTGTATGCAAGCAAAGAGGAAAAGGCTCCAGCATTCCCAGTGGTGTCAAAATCCATGAAAGAATTCACACTGGTAAGAAAGAATATGTATGTGATAAATGTGGAAAAGCATTCACTACACTGAGTTATTATAAAATACACGAAAGAATTCACACTGGGGAGAAACCATACGTTTGTAATCAATGTGGGAAAGGATTTGCTGCTGTGTCTGCACTTGGTACACATAGACGAACCCACACAGGTGAGAAACCCTATGTATGCAAGCAGTGTGGGAAAGCATTCAGCAGCATGATGTATTGTAAAATACATGAAAGAATTCACACTGGGGAAAAACCGTATGCATGTAAGCAGTGTGGAAAAGCATTCACTGCCATGAGTGTTTGTAAAATACATGAAATAAGTCACACTGGGCAGAAACCTTATTCATGTAAGCAATGTGGGAAAGCATTCACTACTATGAGTTACTGTAAAATGCATGAAAGAAGTCACAGTGGTGAGAAACAATATGTATGTGAGAAATGTGGAAAAGCATTCATTACACTGAGTTATTACAAAATACATGAGAGAGTGCACACTGGCGAGAAACCCTATGCATGTAAGCAATGTGGGAAAGCATTCACTACTCTGAATTATTGTAAAGTACATGAAAGAAATCACACTGTTAAAAAACTGCATGTATGTGATAAATGTGGAAAAGCATTCACTACACTAAGCTATTATAAAATACATGAAAGAATTCACACTGGGGAGAAACCCTATGTGTGTAAGAAATGTGGAAAAGCATTCACTGCCATGAGTGTTTGTAAAGTACATGAAATAAGTCACACTGGGGAGAAACCCTATGTATGTAAGCAATGTGGGAAAGCATTCACTACTCTGAGTTACTGTAAAATACATGAACGAAATCACACTGATGAGAAACAGTATATATGTGAGAAATGTGGAAAATCTTTTCCTACGCTGCGTTATTATAAAAGACATGAAAAAATTCACTTTGGGGATAAGCCCTATGCATGTAAGCAATGTGGAAAATCATTCACTACTCTGAGTTATTGTAAAGTACATGAAAGAAATCACACGGGTGAGAAACAATATGTATGTGAGAAATGTGGAAAAGCATTCACTACACGGCGCTATTATAAAATACATGAAAGAATTCATTTTGGGGAGAAACCCTATGCATGTAAGCAATGTGGAAAAGCATTCACTGCCATGAGTGTTTGTAAAATACATGAAAGAATTCACACTGGGGAGAAACCCTATACTTGTAAGCAGTGTGGGAAAGCATTCAGTACTCTGAGTTACTGTAAAATACATGAAAGAATTCACACTGGTGAGAAACCATATGTATGTGAGAAATGTGGGAAAGCCTTCTCTACACTGGGTTACTGTAAAACACATGAAAGGAAATCACACTGTCAAAAAACCGTATGCATGTGAGAAAGTTGAAAATCATTCACTACACTAAGGTCTTGTAAAATACATGAAAGAATCTATGCAGAGGAGGAATCATATGCATGTAAACAATATGGGAAAACATTCAGCCAGCAGTAAATTTAAAGTGCATCAAAGAGTTGACAGTTGGGATATATATCACGCATGTAAGCAATGTGGAAAATCATTCATACACCACTTCCTGTCTCATTGATATCTCGTGCTGGGAGAAACCGTATTCTGTGTGTGGGCCGTGTCAAAAGGGATTGAGCTCACACTGGAGCTAAACCTTTTGTGTAAATTTTTGTAAGCTTTAGTATATACAAATATTGTCAAAGACATGAGCTTACACAGGTTAGTAACTACATGATTAAAATAGTTGGAAAATATTTTGATAAGGTATCCTGTGCCTAGATCTCACACTGATTTGATTTTTTTTATTAGGGGGCATGGGGGATTGAACTCATGACCTTGCACTTGCCAGGGAGGCACTTAGGTTGCTGAGCTATCTCCCTGGCCCAAGTTTGATTTTTTTTGGTTACTGGCTACTGATTTGGATAACTATATAACCGCTGTAGGAGAAGTATTCATTGAGGAGTTTTTATCACGTAAATGAAGTTACACTGTGGAAAATATGCGTGTTTAAGCCTATTTTGTAAAATCATCATGTAGTAAAGGCTTGTATCATTTTAATGAAAATTTTGCTGTCAACATTGTTTCAGAAATTTTCTAGAAATTATACTCCCGGATGGTTATATCCTAGAACATATTCTTTTTGTTTTCTTTAGTAAACCACTTGTGAGTATCTGAAATTTGAATCTGTAGTCTTTTTTTTTATTATTATTCTTTTCCCATAATTTTACTGAGAAATAATTAGCAATGAGACAGTTTCAAATCAAATTGGTAGGACAGTTTCAATAATTAACACATTGCATACTGCCTTCCTAGTTGTTATTTGCTGTACAAGGTGCAGATATAATATCCTATTTACAAACACAATTAGAACAAATCTCTCTATTCCTTGAATTAAGAGAATGTAGCTATATATCTATCCTAACCATTTTGAACACATAGATAAAAATGGTCATTCATCTACTACCCCTTTTTTCGTTTAGTTCCATCATTTAAATATTATAGTTGTGTGAACTCAGCAAAATATTCCAAAATAGTCTAGTAGTCCGTAATTGTATTAGGTCTTTTCCTTGACTGGCAATGTCAGAAATTGTTGACCTGAGTCCCCTACAGCTCAACATAATGATATGGCTTGCTTGCTTGCTTGCTTGCTTGCTTGCTTTCTTTCTTTCTTTTTCTTTCTTTCTTTCTTTCTTTCTTTCTTTCTTTCTTTCTTTCTTTCTTTTTTTAATTTAAATTTTAATTTTTTTTGTCCTGTCTATTGGTATCTAAATACTATAGGTGTTTGCATTCAACTAAACAATCTAACACTGTCTAGCAGTCTATAATATTAGTGGATTATCCTCAGAATCTGTAGTCTGTATTATAAAACAGTGACGTATATATTTTGGAAGTCATTGACTTTAAACTTAGCATATATTATCTTCTAGCTACACACAGTGAATTGAAATTATTTCTCACTTCCAATTAGGGTTCCTATTTATGCCTTTTTTTTTTTTTTTTTTTGTATTTAGGACAGGGTGTACAGGGTCTCACTGCGCATAGATGGGATTCGCGCATAGATGGGATTCGTAGTGATCCTGTTTACAGCCTCCCAAGTGCTGGGATTACAGGCACGCCCTACCACGCCGTCTCAATTGCTGTCTCAGCATGCCCTGGGGATGGGGCTGGCACAGCAGGCCTGGGGATCAAACTCCCAGCCTCTGCGTCCTCCAAAGCAGGCACTTTAATCCGCTGAGCTATTCGGCCAGTCCTATACCATTTTAATTTTATTTTTACTATTAGGCAACAGTGTACTGAAAATACCCTTAATTGATTAAATTGATGCCATTCCCCATTAGCTTTGAATTTGGCTTTTTGGCCTACATAATTCATATTTTGTTTAGAAAAAGATGCTTTTTAATTTGATTTTATTCTTGTGTACATATTTAGAAATATGTAAAAATACATTTTGAAGTTTGTTTTTACAACCTGTAGATTAACAAATGCTTTGTTTTTCATATTCTAGCAAAATATATATGTGAAAACAATACTATCATGCACGATTGTACCTATTTTTTCATGTGGGGAATCAATACTATGATTCACAGAACTTTTATTCTTATATTGCTCTGACTTATAATTTTGTATTTTATTACTACCTGTACCCCCCCCAAAAAAAATATACCGCTATGACAATTTAATTGTGACAGATCAGGTGGGCCATGGTGTGTAAAAGTGTATCATGAATTATTATATAATTCAGTACCTACTAGAGAAGCAGATTTAATGCAAGCTGTACATATATAGCAATTTACAAGATTTGCTTGCAGTGGCTTCCCACAGAATCAGATATGCAGTGATCTAAAAGCTTAATCTGTAAAGTAAATTTCTAAAAAATCTAGTTGCATGTCTACAGGCCACTGTAGTACCCCCTGTAAATCTATTTGAAGACTTGGAGACTAAAGAGTGTGTTGATTGTTTTAGCTGGAGACTGAAGGGTCTGCTGGAAGCCAGGAGATAAATTCCAGACTGAAGTCACCCTGGGATACTGAAGTCCATTCTTGCAAATAAAAATGCCTTCTATTTTGGTTTTTTTATATATATAATATTCTTTTGGGCCAGCAAGATAGCTCAGTTGACTAAAGCGCCTGCTGAGGCAAGCTTAGGCAAACACAGGGAGCGCAGTTTGAGCTCCAGCACCACATGCCACATTACCTCTGAGGGTGGTGTTGGAGCACACCTGTAATCCCAGAGCTAGGGAGGCTGAAAATGGGATCACCACGAGTCCAAGCTGCATAGTGAGACTCTACAACAATCAAATTCATTAAAAAAAAAAAAAAAAAAATCCTCCTGAGGTTTAGTCTTTCATACCCTGAAATTTGTGGAGCTCATGTAATTGGACAAGCAATTCCCAAGTTGACACAATCAATTAACAATGACAGTTCACCCTTTGACAACTTCACACCCAGACATGGTTCTTTAAACCATATTCTCCAGGGCTGGGGAGATAGCTCAGTAGAATAAGTGCTTGCCTGGCAAGCACAAGGGTCTGAGTTTAATCCCCAGTTCCTCAAAAAACCCATATTCTCCCGCTAAAAAGAGGAACTCATAAATATACCTAATGTTATACTTGTGTATATTCAAATGGAAATACTCTGATTTCTTCCACACAAGTGAAGGACGCTTTCTTTGCGTGACGCTTACTCCTATTTCACAACTAGAACAGTAGAACATAGGTTGAACAAGATTAAACTTTAGTAAGTTTATCAACTTTATACTGCAATAGAGGCATATTAGGAAAGAACTGTTACAATTAGAATCTTCATTTCTATAACTCATTGTGGGTTAATAGTTGATAGCCACAATTAAAATATGTCACCATATCGCTGATTTCCTTGTCATTGAGGCAGTACCTAAGCAGTCTGTTCTTTCCATGGTTTTGTGACCTGTACTTTTATTACTCAATTTTCTGGATTATTGGGTATTCTGCCAGGATTGTATTCTTATAGTTGCAATTAACTTGAATAAGAGGGCATGATACTACTAGCAGGCACTCCAATGCATCTCCTGCAGGCAAAGCATATTTTTTTGTATCTTTCATAGTGACATCATAGTTTAATTCTCCCTTGACAGTTAGGTTTGGTTGTTCCTCTCAATAAGGTAATACCCCTTTTAACTTGTTTTCTCTGAGCCCAAAGGAGGCAAAATGACCAAGGGAATTTTTCACTTCCAGCTCAATGATATCATTGTGCTTCCTGGTACAAAGCTTTAATTATCTGTAAGACTTCCTTCTAAGCCAGCAGATCATATCGTCATGAGATCAGGGTGCAGAAATTTTGCTAGTAGGTCACTACAGATAGAGTGGTAACACTTAATTCACACTTCATTCCTGGATCATAAATTCCAGAACCGTAAATCTTGGCTATGGAAAAGATGGTTTTATATAGTGGATGTTGACTCAAAACATAATACAAAATCACAAAATCTTGAAGAACCTTTCCCTGTCCTGCAAGGTACTGCCTCTTCACTTACACTGCAACTGTGTTATGAAAAGACCATTCCACTTTTCTGTTAAGCTGTTACCAGTGAATTGTATAACTATTATGAGACCATTGACTTAATTTCTTTGAACACAAAATGTGTTTGTTGCTGTGAGATCTAATGCTGTGTGGAATTTCATGATAGTTGGTAAGGCATTGTATGAATCCATGGGTGAGCGTTTGGCAGAAGGATTCATGCAACAAAGATAAATCCATATCCAGAATAAGTCATTATGCCAGTTAGGACAAGGCATAGTGCTTTCCATGATGGAAGGTGTCATGCTATCACGTGGTCAAAAGGTCAAGAGCTGGTTACCCAAGCAAACGGTGTCATATTTGTGAATTAGTGGCCTCCGCTGCTGGCATATCAGGCTTTCAGTAGTGATTATAGTCGATCTGGCTTTCTGAATGGGAGTCTGTGGTGCAGGGCATGCGTATTCTCTATGCCTGCCAAAATGACCCCTCTGCTCATGAGCCCATTGGGCGAAGACAGGGATGGCATAGGAGAAAAATTATAGTTTCTATAGAATGGGTCATTTATCCTTTTGATTGTTAAGTCTTATCACTGAGGTCACATTTGCATGAGAGTTTTGATGTGATATAAATATGTTATTTGTCCATTTAATTAGGTGTATCCACATATCTTTTTTTTTTAATATGTATTTTAGGGAGCCGTCTACAGGGTGTTCAGGGTCTCCCTACTAGATCGGACTCATAGTTATCCACATGCTTAATTGCCAGTGAATTGTATAACTATTACAGTCTCCCAAGAGCTGGGATTATAGGTGCATGCCACCACACCCAGTCTCAATTGCTGTCTCAGCACACCCTGGGGGCAGGGCTGGCACAGCAGGCCGGGGATCAAACCCCTGGCCCCTGCGCCTGCTTGTAGGTGCTTTAATCTGCTGAGCTATTTGCCTGGCCCCTAGCTATTTGGCTGGCCCTCTCATTTTAAAATATTGTCATCAATGTTCCAGTTACATTCCTCTGAGTTTCTGAACACCAAACCAGACCATTGACTACAGCCCAGGAATCAGTGTACAGTCACATACCTGGGCATTTTCCCAGGCAAAATATGCTAACCAGTATACTGCCCAAATTTCTACCTACTGTGAATATTTCTCTTCACCCCTGTTCATCAGGGATGCCCTGGAGAGGGATTGTCATGCTGAAGCTGCCTAATTATAGGTGGTGCTAGCATAACACACATAGCCATCTGTGAACTGGCTAGACTTTTTTTCTTCTAAAAGCTGATCCTTTGGTCTACCCCATGATGTCATAGGTGCA